GAATCGGGCACCGGGAACTCGCGCTGCCGGTGCCGGATCCAGACCTGCTGGGGCCCCGCACTGGGAGGTGGGGGGGGGGGGGGGGCACGGCCCTGCTTGCCGCCCCGGGCTCTCTTTGTTGGGGCTTCCCATTCCCCCCCCCCCCCATCCATTTTTCTTTTTCTCTTCACCAGTTTTATTTTAATTCCGGTGGTTTGGGGCGCTCGGGTCGGGTTTTTTTTCCTCCTTATTCCCTTTTCTTCCCTCCCATCGCATTTTAACTGAGCCCCAGCCCCGCTGCTCTGTGCTGCGGAGCGGCCCAGCGCGCGCGATCCCCTCCTTTGGGGAGGAATCAGTGAGTCGGGAGCCATCACTTAAGTTTTGAGGTCGCTGGAGAAGCCGCCGCCGCCGTCCCCGTGAACCTGCGTCGCTCCTGGGAAATCCTCGGCGGAGCCTGCAATAAGCAATAACCCCGGCAGCGAGGTGAGGGGAGAGCAGGACGGGACGCGCGGCTGCGGATGGAGCTGGAGAATATTCCCGAGCCATCCCCGCAGGTTTGGATGCTGGAAGGGGTGGCGGGGCCGTGAAGCCCCGCGCTGCGTTCGCCCGGTGCAAAGTTTGAGAGGCTTCGGTGCGGCTTTGTCTGCGGGCAGCGAGGTCGGGGTGGGTTTGGGGGGGGGGGGTGTTTGTAACCTCCACACGGTGCCCGATACCGGTTAGGACCCCGCTAACAGCAGCAACAATAACGTGTTCGGAGGGAGTTTGATTACGGAGCTGTCGTCTTCGGGGAGTTCAGAGATTCCCGGGCTAACGCCGTCCGGCTCCTGGAGCCGGGAGCAGCCTCTTCCATCCCCTTCCTACCCGGTGTCCGCTTCTGTCGCGAGATGCTCTCGCCAAGTTCGGCCCTTTCTGTTCTTCCCGGCTCCATCTCGCTGTCCGGGGGATGAACAAACGCGCCTCTGTCTCGCTGGCCGGGATCGCTCCGGCGGTTTCTTGGTGGTGGTGGTAAATCTGGTTTGAGTTGGCAGGCGCGTTTCGGAGGTGTGCAGAGGAGAGGACAAGTGGAGCGTAATCGGGGTTTCTTTTTCCATTTGGGAATGGTTCCTTTTTTCTCCCCTTCTTTCCCCTTTTAAAACAACCCGGACCGCGTCTCTCCCTCTCCCCTCCTGGGCACTTTTTAATACCAGCGAACAATGCACGGAGGAGAAAGCACAATCCTGCAGGCTCCGTGGTGCTCGCAAAGTGCCTGCTTGGAAAACTTGCTCCAGGGTGGGTTGTTTTTTTACTCTTATATATAGTCCAAGAGGAATTTGTGTCCGAATTGAGCCTCGGGGGCTCCTCCATCCCCATCGCTCCGGCTGCGAGCCGATACCCAGCGATTTCCCTTTTCCCACCCTCGGAACCAGCTCAGTAGCGATTGAGACCCGAGCGCTGTAAAGCTGTGGGGCATTCAATAAAAACCTGATTAGTTTCTGCATGGAAAGGGTTGGTTTTAACCCAAACCAGAGGCAGGATTTACTTGGACAGATTTCCTCTTGTGCACTTAAAAACTGACCCGAGGAACATCCAGCACCGTGCTGGGTGTTGGATCCCCGGCGTGCAGCTCAGGCACGGCACGATTTCGGGTTCCCCTTCCTCGATTCCCTGTATTCCCGATTAACTGTAGCGGTGTCTCGGGCTCTTGTGAAAATCCAGCTCTAAATGGAGTGTTATTTTTTAGCATTATTTATTTGAATTTCCACTCCACCTTAAAGTCTATTAGAAAAAAGAACAAATCCGATGAGCCCCCGGGGCTGGGTGGATGGAGAAAATCATCAGATTTGGGAAGTTTTTCCTTTTTTCCCCCCTTTTTTTTCCTTCCATTTTTTCCTTTTAATTTTTTCCTTTTAATTTTTTCTCTCCCCTCCACATTGCTTAAATCAAGCTGGGACGGGGGGGAGAAAGGGGCAGCAGTGCCCGTGCTGAGCTGGGGAGGCTTTGTGAGGGCTGCGAAGCCTCACAAAGGCAGGAGCAGGGGGTAAAGCGGGGGCATCAAATAATGGTGCAGGCTCCGGGTTGCAGATGTTCCCGGTTTGGGGGTTTTAAGTTCTTTTTTAATAGTAATTGATTAGTTATTAGGGGAGTTTGGTGTGTGTTCTTTCCCCCCCCATCCCAAGCTCCCATTGGGATGTTTGGTGTGGGGAGGGGGCTGCTTCCATGTCCAGCATCGCTCCTGCCACAAACCCCCGAGAAACCGGCAAAGTTGGACTCGGTGTTGGTGGCAGGGAAAAAGTGCAGGAGAACGGGATTGGGATGGAAAATCCCCCCCTTAACATGGGCACCCTGGGATGTGTCACCCAAGAGGGCTGGGGGTGGCAGGTACCCCCTGGATTGGGGATGGAGGATGCCAGGGTGAGGGGGGGGCTCAGTCTATGTGTGCCGGTGGGCAGAAGGCTGGGAAAAGGGAAAGGAATGAAATGGATTAAAGTTGCTGCTGGAGGAGGGGGTTGATACACAGAGGCCCCCAAAATAACATAGGAAATATCAGTAAATGCTGTGTCCAGCTTTAGTCCCATCCCTGGTAGTCGGGCGTCCGTAGGATTTACGTCCCGGTTTGGGAAGGGAAGAGCAGGGCCCGTTACAAACAAATCTGTGCAATGTATAAAATGAAGTGACACTCAAACATCCAGTCGGGCCCTCGCCCTTTTCTCTCCCAGTAACCCGGCAGGAATGCGAGTGCACTCGCTTGTGAAGTTGCTGCCCTGGAGTCCGGGAGCTTTTCTTCTCTATGCTGGAGCTGGGGGATGCTGGAGCTGCGCTGGGTCTCGCTGGGGGCGTTCGGGGCTGCTTTTCAGGGTTTGCTTTCCTTTTATTTCTTACTCCTCCCTCCCCCCTTTTTCCTCTTTTGTGGGGCAGGCGGAAGGGGGAGAGGTGCGGAGCTGGGGTTGCCTTTGTAGCACAAGGTGGGGGGGAGCTGTGCCCCTAGCCGGCACTGGGTTAATTCTTCCAAGCGGAGAAAGGCGGGAGAGCCCGGGGGTCCCGGCTTTTCTTCTGCTCCTTTTAAAGTAACACACGTTTATGGCTCTTTGCCTCTTGTTTTCCCACTGCGGAGTGGGGTTTGTAGCTGGGAATACTTGGGGGAATTCTCTTTATGTATGGAGGGGGGAGCTGGGGTGGTTTTTCCCCTTGGTTTGGGAGCCTGGGAGAGCCTCCGGGTTGGAGTTGGCAGGTGGTTCGCGGGGCTCTCAAGGGGATGCTTGCACCCCCCATCTCCCCAGTGGACATCCAGGGTTTATCCCGGGGTTTATCCGGGTGCTCCCGCTGTGGCCTCGCCGTCACCTGCTGCTGCTGGAAGTGGAAACTTGAAATTTCCTGTCCCGTCCTCTTTGATTTCCAGCTCCTCCGGCACCGCCGCGGGAGTTATGGGGTGCAGTGGGGCTGTAGGAGCTCGGTCCTGCCCCGGTGGGATGCTCTGTGGGCATCTTCCTGTGGAGCGATGAGTTGCATTAGTGGGAAGGAGAAACGGGGGGAATTAAAACCTCAAATACACTCGGAAAGCCGCGTGTTCCCCTCGGAGGAGGTAAAACCCCTCCGTGTGCCACTGGAGCCCCTGATGCGCTCAAGGGAAGCGCAGGGGTAAATGTGAGAGTAACCCAGGGCTGTGCCAGCGGCTGCAGGGTGAAGGTCTTCCATGGGGAAGGACTTGCACCCGTGTTACCCTCTTGCAAAACCTCCCCCTGCTCGCTGCGCTGCACCTTTTAAAGTCAAACAGAACTTGTAGATCAAGATGGGGCTGGGCACAGCTTGAGAAACTTCCTAGTGTTTTATCCCCCCCCCCAATTGTTTGTTGTATAAAATGCATCAAAGCCGCTGCTCGAGCGTGGGGGGTTTAACTTTTGTTAATTCAAACCCTTTTGTCAGTTGCAAACCTCTGTGATAAAACACGGTGGTGGTGATGGTGCTGCCTGCGACTGAGCTGTGTTTGCGAGCGGAATGGCATTGGGAAAGGGAAGAACCGAGAGGCGAAAACGGAGGAGGAGGAGAGCTGCTCCCTTCGGAGGTGGGCAGCGTGGTGCTGCTGAGGAGAACACAACCCAAGAGGTTTTACTCTGTAAAGATCCTGCTGGAGGAGAGTTGAGATCTGGGAATGGAGCTGGACAGAAGGCGTTAAGGGATTCCGATGCCTTGTGCCGGGGCTGTAACTGGACGTGGTACCCGGGCAAGGGAGTTCCGTGTGTGCGGATGGGCACCGGGAGTCGGGATCCTTTCTCCTTGTGTTTCTTAAGGAAAAGGAAAAGCAAAGGCTGTGTTTGCAGCGGCTCTCTTGCGCGCTGTGCTGGGGTTAAGGAACCTGCTGTCGGTGTCTCCTGGCCCCGGTTAACGTTCGCCACCGGCTCGTGCCCTGGCAAGTTGGCTCTAAGTCTGTCGCGTTGGGTTGTGTTGGTGGGAACGCTCCTCCTGCGGGTCCGGATGAGCAGCAAAAACATCCTTGTTTTTTAGCAAAGCAGGGAGTGGAGCGCGGCTGCGGGAGGGAATTTCACCCGGTGCCGGCTCAGCCAGGGGCTCCGGGGCATGTTTGTCGGCAGCCAAAGGTGCCGTAATAAAACTGTTCTTTGGGAGATCGTGTTCCAGACCATGGAAAAGTGCGAGGAAACCTTTCTGTTTAAGGTGCCAAAGGAGGCAAAACTCCCCCGGGGGGGGGAGCTTGGCTTGGAGGAGATTGGGAAAGTGTTTGTTCTGCCTCATTGGCAAACCTTGGTGCGACCAGCATTGATGGGGAGCTGGCGATGGGGATGGGGGCACTGATGCTGGTGGGAAGCAGGGGAGCCCCAGCTGATGGGGACGTGCTCAGTGTGTTGTGTGGCTGTTTGGCAGCTCGTGAGATGCTGTCCTGGGGGTGTCTTTGCTCAGGCACCGATGCTCCCGTTTAACAGGCAAACACGGGATTGGGATCAGCCGGGATGAGCTGCTCACCCAGAGAGGGGGGTGTTGAAACGTCTTATTTCAACACACCTTTGCCAGGTCGCTGGGTTTATCCAGGGGGATTTAACTGCGCTGAGGCTAATAAAGGCATAAAAGAAAGGCATAAAAACCCCAGCAGTGCCGGGCAGGGCCAGCCGAGCATCGTGCTGCAGCCGTCAGAGCCTGACCCTGAACCCTTCACTTGCTTCCTCCCTGTCATGGTTTATTCCACGAAGTAGATTTTAGGTGAGTGGCTTTCTGCCTGCCTGCTTATTGTGAGTCTGCAAGCTGGGGACGCTCCTGTATTTGTTCGCCTGTAGCAAGATCTGGATGGGGACCACCTAGGAGAAGCTGTCACGGGCTTGGGAAGAGATGTCTTCAGGAAACAGGGACAGTGGAGGAAGGATGGAGGTAGGTTGCTCAATGCAGGATACAAGGCCAGAACCTGTTTGTAAGCGAAGGATGCGCTGGGATCCGTTTGCTCAGGAGCCTTTCCTCCTTCTGGTGTCCTCTTGGCTTTGGTTTTCTCCCTGTGAGTTGTTCCCTGCAGCCTATTACTGGGAATTAGTGGCCCATTACTTTGGCCATTGACTCTGGGCACAGCTTGCTCTGTGCTTGAGCTCACTGCTCGGTTGGGTGCCACCCTCATGTGCCGGGATCACGGCACATTCCTTGGCTTGGCCACCGTGGGATGGGGTTTCCGGTACAAATGATCCCGCTTTGGCCACGCGGTCCTGGGTGCTGCTGGGAGGATGCTGCTGGATGCAGGACTGTCCCTGAACCCTGCTGGGGCCCTTTTGCAAGGGCTGGAGAAGCTCATCCCAAACCTCCCTGCTCTTGGGCATGGTTTGGCCTGTTAGAAATGGAAGGAGGAGAGGAAAATGAGGGGTGGGGGACAGAGGGAGAGTGTCAGGAAATGTGGGGTTTGAAATGATGCTGTGCCGGGGATAGCTGCAAAAACCTGGTGTTGCCGAGATGGGTTCTGGTGGGGGTGAGGCTGTGCTCTTGGAAAGGGCTGTCTCCGGCTTTGCCCTTCTCCTGGGCTGTTTCCAAAGGATTTGCACTTTCTCCTTTTACTCTCCGAGCTGCTTTCCACACGGCGAAGTCGCTTCGCCACCAGAGCAGTGCCACTTTGAGTGTGGATGTCTGTCGTGGGATGGGGTTTGTTCCATGGGCACAGAGGGGTATCCCCGTCTCCTGCTTATGCCGCTCTGGCTTCAGCTCTGCTGGCGCAGGGTTTGGGAAGTGGGGCTGGCCCAGATGTTCACCGTTAATAAATTAAAACCTCAAAATCGCCATGGTTTCTCATTTGGAAAACAAAAGAGGCGTTTGTCCCCTGCTGTGCGGGTAAATGTGGTGCTGGGGAGGAGGAGGAGGAGGGTCCCATCGCTCCCCATTTATCTCAGCCTCTCGGCACCCGCCGTCTGGGGCACTCGTGCCTTCTCCTACCCCAGTGGGTGCCATCCTATTCCTCTGCCCCCTGGACCAGGTGGTGGGTTTGTAGGGTGCTGCTGGCAGGGGGCCTGGTTGCTCCCCAGTGAAGGTGAGAAGCAGATGAAACACCAAAAGCATTTGTATGGCGGAGGTGCTGATGCTTTGCGAGGGGACGCGGGGTCCCCTCCGTCCTGGGAGCTTATGATGTGGTGCCAGGTTTGTTTCATCTCTCTTGCTGGAAGATTTGTGCTGAAATCTGGGTTTGAGTTTCCATGGCTCCTTTGCTTGTCCTGGCAGCAGGACGGGGATCCCTGGGGCCAGCTCTGCCTGCCTGGAAGGATGCTCAGGACTCTCCGGATGCAGGTCAGGGTCAGCACAGCTCTATTCGGGTTATTCGTGCTGCTGCTTTTAAACCGGGTTTTTGTCTATGCCTCTCATGGCAGAGCCTGCTTTTAGGGCCTGTTTCAAAGTCCATTTAAGTCTTTCTCTTGGTGCTGGTGGGCTTGAGCCCTGAACAAATGTCCCTTTCCTTGGGAAGTGGAGCTTGGTCGGACTTTGGGGCTGTGAGAGCATCCCCATCTGCAGATCCTGTACCACGGGGGTGCTGCATCAGTGCTGACACCGGCATCACTGCTCGTGTGGCTGGGCAGAAGCAGTGCCAGAGCGATTCCCCCTGGCTCATAGGGCTGGTGGCTTGAAAAGACTCTGTTGAGAAGGCCAAATCCATTTACAAACGCAGCAAGATGAAGTTTAACAGGCAAGGGGGCTCGTCTGGGGGCTGGTGGTGGCTTTGGGGCAGGTCTCTCGTGTCCCCATTGCACTGAAGCAGCGAATGCCGCAGTGGGGAGCATCAGTGCTGCTGAATCTCTTGCTGCAGATTTGGGCTGCTGTGGGCACAGAACCGTGGGGACATGCAGCTCCTTTCGTTGCAGGATTGGTCCTTCCAGAAGCAGTGGAGATCTGTGCTGGTCCTTGCTGTCACAGATACGAATGCTCTGGGAACTTCTGGGGCTAGGAATGGGCAGGTGCTGGTTTTAGCCGGAGGTTTAAAATCATAATTGGTGTTTTAACATACCTGGCAATGGATAGGAGCCATGGTCTGTGCTGGGACGGGTACCAAGGGCTCACGGGTCACGTCCCTGGGGGTGCTGATGACCCGGCTGTGTCCGCTTTGTGTCCTGCCGGATGCCGCATTCCGGTGTCACGTCCTTCCCTCACCCTCACGTGATGAGGTTTGGTCTGGGAGGAAAAGGGATGTCCCCTGGGTTGCTGCCCTGCCCAGGGCAGCCGGTGATGGAGACCTGATGGCACCGTGTCCTGCAGACAGTGGTCATGGAGCACTCGCTTCCTGCTGGGACAGGGTTATCAGTGACCCTGTCTCAGCAGGAGATGCGGAAAGATGATGGGACCTGATTGTGGAGGAGTGGTGCTGCTGCGGAGCCTGGAGCCCCAGTGCAGTGATGGGGGGTTTTGTGCCATAGCTTCTTGTGGGCACCCATACAGGACATGCTCGGGGCGCTGCTGTGGCTCCATCAGCCAGCAATGAGTCCTCCCCGGGGAGCGGGCACATCAGGAGACAACTGGGCACTGAGTGCCATGAGGCCCTTCCTGTCCCAGCACCCATGGGTGCTCACAGGGCCTCTGGGACTTGGCAGCCAGAGCTGTGGGCTGGGCGAGGTGCGAGATGTTGGAGCTTGCAAGGGGTGAATCATAAACTGGGATTTTAAAGAACAAGGATTATTTTTAGAGGGTTGGGGAGAGGAAAACCGCACCATTTCCAGGGGTGCTTTGCAGGGAGGCTGCATCGACCCCCTCAGGAGCAGTAGAAATCTGTGGATTTGCTCTGCGCTCTCTCCCACACCAGCAGGAAGGGGTCGGTGGCTTCCTTGGCCACCTCAGTACAGATCACCTCAGTTTACTTCATGCTTCCATCGCTCTGTTCCAATCCATGAAGCAGGGATGTGAAGATGCCGCCTCCTTATGTGTAAGGGCTGAGCTCAGGATGCCCAGGGCTCAGGAGTCTGGCTTGGCATGACCTGGGAATGCTGTGGATGACATCGGAGTGATGCTGCGGGACCAGGTCACCTTTCCGTGTTGCCAAGAGGTCCAGAGGGATGCCGAAACCATGGAGTGTGCTCCAGGAACGCAGGGGAGAAGCTGTATCTTGCACTGTACAGAGTGTCACCCTCTGGAGTCCCCGGTGGAGGGTGCTGGAGGAGGATGCTCTTCCCAGGAAGAGGATGTGGCAGCTGAACACAGCTCATCGAGCTCAAACACAGGAGCAGCACGGGGGACCCCGATGATCTTCTGGCTTTGGCACAGGTCTGTGTAGGGAAACGCTTCCCCTGGCCGGAGGGATGCTCCGTGCCTCTCCCCTGAGCCTTGCTCTCATCCCATGCACCCCAAAAAGTTGAATGCACCTTCCCAATCCCTGCCTGCAGCCACCCGTCCCCATTCCCAGTGCAAGAGCCCAGGACAGCCCAGTTCCTCTGCCGAGCATGCTGCTTCCCAGCTTTTAAGAAAGCCCTGGGAAAATTGCTGATGTTATTCCAGTCGCTGCTCTGCGCAGGGCTGGTGGGAGCCGCGGTTGTGGCTGCGGCTGCGGTGCCGGGGCAGAGCAGGAGATGGTGAGTCCATGTGAGATGGAGCCGAGCTGTGCAGGAATCAGATCAGGAAGGATGTCTGGAAGTGCTGCTCTGGCGGTGGCTGCGAGACGGAGCCGGCCTCGGGTCATGCTTGCCTCTGATTTGGATGCAAAATAATGGACTTCAGACCAGGAGTTTGAAGATGCCCAAGGATAGTTCTCCCCCCCCACTGCCTTTTTTCTTCTCCCTCCTCATGAGCAGCATAATTTCTGGATGGAAACCAAGCTTCTTCCTGCATAAAAATGGGATTTGTGATGGAGAGCATCAGTGTGCAGCAGGGAGCGCATTAAGCAGAGCGTTTTCTGGATGAATTTTTGCACAAACACGGCGGAGTCTGGAAAAACTTGTGGCATCCGAGTTCCTCCCTCCTGTTCAGTAGGCACCAGGGCTTCTTTTCCTCCCCTCTGGATTATTTAAAGGCCAGAAGAGACTTTTCGCATCCTCCCATCTGACTTCACGCAAACTCAGCTGGAAAATTCCTCTCGGGTCTGACATGGGAGCTTGTATTCCCGGTGCCGGTGGCTCTGCCATCGTTCCCTGTCCTGGTCCAGATTGTCCCTCTATTGCTCCAGGTCATTCTCCTCCTCCCTAACTCTGCTCTTACCCTTGGCAGCCACCCCTGATGGGATCAGGGGCCAGGGCAGGGGGAGCTCCTGCAGCTTGATTTTGATTTTAGGAGCTTCCTCCATACACACCCCCTGCCCAGAGCCTTCCTCCGCTCCGGTGCTGCCTTTGCCGTTCCCAGGGCTGCTGGGTGCAGTGGGCACATCAGGATGCTTCCCTGCAGCCCTCCTCTTCCTCAGCTTATGTGCGGCGATGTCCTTCATCGCTCTGTCCAAGAGGATGAGCCCTGCTCTTCCTTGGGTGACCGAGGCTCTGGTAGGCGGGATACCCATGAGCATGGGGCCATGTTGGGGCTGTCTGCATGTAAAAGGGATGGAGATTTTGTGTGTGCCCTGGGTGGGCTCGGGGCTCTGCTGCAGCAGGAAGGCTGGGTGAGATGTGCACCATGGGCATGGCCCCGTTGTGTGTGTTACTGATGGGGTGTAAAATAATGGGGTGAGCTGGGCATGTGGGCAGAGACATAACCGTGAGCGAGGATTTGCTGGAGGAGCCTTGGGGAAGCACTGGTGTGATGCTGGCGGGGATGGACACGGTGGCTGGCACCATGTGGAGTGATGCCAGGGTGATGGCCACAGGCTGGGCAGCGGTGTGTGAGTGTGCATCGGCTGCACCACGGTCCTTGCACTGTGCTGATCCCTGCAACTGCTGCTTTTGGGCTCAAGCTCTGCTTTGGCTCCCGGAGCATCCTCTCCACACCAGCAATGTGAG